AAAATTACATTTTCTTTCAAGGAATATCCTGCCTTTTGATATGTAGTTATATTTCATTATGAAATAATGTAAACTACTCTACCTTAGAATTAAATTCTCTTCTCAGCCTCCCAGCAAAGGTTAAGATCTGAATAAAGGCATGTGTAGCCAACAGGGATTCTTGACTTTGGTAAATGTCAATGATTTGCTCTTTTCTCCTTGGTGTATGTAACTTTCTTCCATGCTGCTCATCCTGGCTTTAAGAGCAGCTAAGCAAACACAAGAGGGAGAATTAAGTGGATTTCTTATCTCTTAGCTTTCCTGTCTTTGTAACATGATTATTAGGTACAGCATCCTCTCCTTGCTGCACATTCTGTTGGCCACATTCTGACAGCCTGACTTCTCAATGCACGTGAGGCACAGTTTACTACAACAGGCTCTATGGATTTTATTTGGTTAGAGCTGGGAATACTACAGGGGCTTTTACATGTGACAGCTTTGTCCATGTGGGATTGGGGAAAGGAGGATAGAGGGCACAGTCGTAGAACAACTTGTCTAGATTTAAAAGAAATGATGTAAGTTTGCTAGACCTTTGGCTCTACATTCTGATCCCTTTTTTTGTGACTTCCACTGTACATGTCTTGAAGAATTGGGAGTGGGACATCAACCTTATTCGGTAAATAGTTATATCTAGCAGTTATGTATTGGACACCATGCTAAGTGCTGAAAATACCAAGATAAATATGTTACAGTGCCTGCTCTTGAGGCATTTGTAATTCATCAAGGGAGAGAAATGTAAGAGAGGCTAGCACTATGTGAAAATGGTTATCATAGAGCCGTGCACAACATATTGTGGCTGCAGAGAGAGCGGCGGTGGCGCTGATTTGAGAAAGGCTTCAGAAAGGAGGCAGCAAGCTGGGCTTTCAAGGATGGGCTTGCCTCAGAAAGAAAGCAGAAGGAATAATCTTGGCAGATGGGCAGTATGAACCAAGAGCTGAGTGTGGTGTGTTAGGAACATGAGGGACATGTGTTGGTTATAGCACAGAATGATGGAACACGAGGCTGGGAATGGAGGCCAGGCCTAAGAATGACATGACCTGACTTTCAGTTTGAACTGTATCTTGTATTATTTTAAATCATGGAGTGTCATGATTAGAAATGTCTATTTTAGAAAGATCAGTATGGATAATAGCTTAGAAGGCAGAAAGAACTAAAAGCAAATGGTCTCAGAAAAAGATGATGAAGCCTGTTGTGTGAATGGAGTGGAATAGATGGATGTGGTGGACATTTGGAGATAAGATCATTGACACTTAGTGAACAAAATTAGGGGAGTGGTGGACAAGGGTGGAACTTTCGGGGAAGTCTACCTCAAAGGTGTGAGCAGAAGAAATATAGAATCTGTGAGAGAGACTAAGAGGTATGATAGATGGTGGAGGGGATATATTTTTAACAGGAGTGATGATGCTCAGGAGTACAAAAGGGGACAACTAGGACAGGACTGAGAAGTGACCTCTACGTGTAAGAAATTGAGGTCATGGTGACCTTTTGGGGAAACTACTTTAGATGTACTCTAGAATGGAGAAAATAGTTGAATGCTTATACTGTTCAAGCTATATCACAATTCTACAAGGATGTAACTAATGATGAAATGCATTTGTGTGAAAGACTATTCACAAACACCCAGCTCTCCAGGCACTTGGATTAGGGGAAAGAAAGAAGAGAGCCTAGTGTCAGTACTGAGGTGTCACTGAGTAATACCTCTGATTTCTATGTCTAGGGTTTCAAAGAGTCCCCTTCTTGCAAATACCGTGACTCTTAATGCTATTTTGCTTTGTTTCTCTCAGGATACTGTAGACTGTAGATGCTTATAGACTTCTCTTAATGCCAAACTGGTCCTCATTTCTAGCCATGATGCTTGTAGTATATGTTGTGGTATGTCACACAGAGCTCAGTTCTCCACTGCTGGGGCACTCAATTGTCCACCTGCTAGGAGTGTAGGTAGCTAGGGATGACTTTCACCTGAAAAATGTCCTCAGCTGAACAGTGTCACTTCACCTAAGATTGTTACCTCTGGGATGGGTATTGGGGGGCAGCCTACATGCAATGACTAGTCAATGGAGGTGGGATTCAAAGGCCTGATGCTTCCAGGTAGGATAATTCTGAAGGGCTATCCTAGCTCCAGCGCTCTCATGGATCAGATGAAGTTTTTGTTACCACTACATTTCAGTTCAGCTCTTCCTTCGGCTCAGTCCAGTTCTTCCTTTCCTCCCCGGCAGGTGTTGATTCTGAGGCATACCCCAATAAACTCACACAGTGTAAATCTCAGGGAGTCTCGGAGTTTATTCCTGGGGAACCCATCTGATATGATTCTTTCCAGTTTGGTTGCCCATGCAAGGCCAGTTGCCAGTGGAACTCTTTAGTTCCTCTGAACTTCGCTTCAGAGGCCCTTGGATGTGTCCAGCGAAAACCTTCTCCTAGCAGTTTGAACTAAAGGCTCAGCATTGAGCCTCCTTGGTTTTGATTGGTTGTGACACATACCCAAGAATAGCTTATTCAAGGAGAGAAAAGAGCGTCACAAGTCAGCTGTCTAGATCCTCCTGAGACCTACCTACTAACCCCAGCTCTGAGAAGGTACCCTGAGGTGAGTGACCCCTGGGTGTAGAAGCTGATCCCTGCTCTGCACCTGTTTGTGCTCCTGCCCTCATCGTACATCCCTATTTGATTCCCAGGTTCCTTGAGGCAGCCATTCATCACTGTCCTGTATCTCTTCTCTTTTTGTTATTTTTTTTTTAGTCAAGAAAAATGAATGTTGAAAACACAATTGAGATATTTCAAGCAAATGTAGAACTTCTCTCCAAATATGTTGCAGAAACACCACCAAGCAAACAAACTACTGGGAAGCACAGCTTAGAAACAAACAGCAGCTGCCACCATTTATGGGCTTTTTTTTTCTTTTCCTCATTTCTTTCTAATTCCGTTTGTAATAAAACCTGCTGCTCTAATGGCCTAGTAGTTTAACCAACAGAACTTTTCTTTCCTATCCTGAGGCCTCCCAGGTGGCCTTGACAGTGTCTTTTAGCTATGGGGTGTTGGTCGACTCAGAGCTTTAGTCCCTTAACAGTGTTTTCCAGTTTTGTGGTTCTGTCTGGAACCACACCTCCCAGACCAGGTGGGGCATAACTGGAACTTCTGGACTTCTGGAGTTTTCAGGACATGAGCATGGAGTGTGGTTTCTTGCCTTTCTGGCTTCGTAAGAGTGGGTAATGTAGTGCTAATTCCAATCTTTCTCAGTGACTAAGTGTTTAATCTGTTGGGTGCTTTGTTTGCTTTTTGTTTTTGTTTTTATTTGTTCTCTGTGTGGAATCTTTGAAGGCACCTACCCAGGGGCTTTTCTTGAGTTTGATTTACCACAGACTGGACTTTAAAGCATCCTGACTTGTCAGATCAAACTCATTTTTCCCTTTCCCCAGAATAGCAGAGAAACTCATTTTCCCCTTCCCCCATTAAATCCTGCTGGTGGTGTGGAATTTCTCAGCTTAAAAGTGATTACTATTAGGTATTAATAGATTTCTGACTACGTGCAAGGCATTGTGCAAAGCCCACACTTATTCTTCACAAGAGCATGACTAGGTAGATGTCATCCCTGCAGGCCCAGACAATATGTTGCTCTCGCGGGGTCTCCTAGGATCACATAGCTAGTTGAGGCACAGCTGGTATTTAACCCAGGTCTGTCTGAATCTGAAGTTCAGGCTGTTCCCTGCCTGCCTCTCAGCTACCCATTGTAATAATATATGGCATTGCTCTCATGTAAGTGTCCGGTAGAGATAGGCCAAAAGCGCAGTCTATTTTTATTTGTTCCTAAGAATATTTTTTAAATTAAATGCCTAACACTTAAAAAATAGGAGATCTCACATTAAATGCAATGTTCAGTTTCTCTTGAAAAATCTTTAGACCTGGCAATATTGTGCTAATATGTTGACAAGACAACAGTTGGCTCCAACTAGGTAAACTCCACCCCACCACATCCTACCTCCCTCAAAGAGGCTGGGGTTGCTCAGTTTGCCACAGGCCCCAACTGAACCACTTTACTTGTTTATGTTACTGGCCTGGCCTCTGCAGACATTTAAGTTTGTGACTTCTAGATTTATGCCTTTAAAAAAGCAATTTCTGTCCAGTTAGGAATCAGTAAGGGGTAAAAGTCAATTTCTGCCTCTGAATAGAATTTTATAGGCTTTGATTTTTCTTTTCAACTTCTTTGGGATACTAATTCAGTTATAATAGCAGTAATTATTGGATATTTATTGAACACTGTAACATTTAGCTGACTCCCGAGGTTAGTAGACAACTGATTGGTGGTAAGAACTTGAATAATTCTCCAATTTAGTTTGCATTTTAAATCCTGCAGTTACTCAGCAGGTACTACAGGAACTGGAGGCTATCCTCAAAAGTATATTTTGTAGAAGCAGTATTACAGAAGAGAGATGAATCCAAAGAAAATCTTTCTGAGACAGGTAGTTAAGTTGACTCTATTTTCCCTTGGAAACTGTTGACGGCCATAGGTAAGATTGCCCCACAATGCAGGAACACCGTTCTTAACTACCAGGGCTCACTCAACACAATGAACAGCTCAGATATTTCAAAGAGAAACATCCTAGAACATTAGAACCTTCTCAGGATGATGAGTCTTTCACTTTATCTCGATGTAGCTCCTGCAAGTGTGTTTCCATTTGACAGTGAGAAATGTGTTAATTCTTTTTTATTATTTCACTTGAAAAAGCATCTCCTTTTGCCTGATTTAAACACATTTCATAGAAATGTAAAATGGAAAGAAAATGGAACTTGGCTAATTTCATAGCTGCAGCTGACTTAAATTTTAAAATTTTGATAGTATTAAATGTTAACACATGAGAGCCCCGTAAGCTAAAGTTGTTATTTATTTGCTTAATTTAGGTAAGTATTTGCTTTTGATTAAGGCAATGCCTGGAATATTGTTTGAATTTTTATTGTTTATTTTCTTTCAGGACCCCGCAGGGATCTTTGAATTGGTGGAACTTGTTGGAAATGGAACATACGGGCAAGTTTATAAGGTAAGTACATTGAGCCTCTGTGTGGCTTATGTATGGTTTCAGTTCATGAATGGCGAATTGCAGTGCTATCTATACTTGCTCATAAATGGCTCCTAACAAATTTAAAATGAATTAATATACTTGTTGATTGACTCTCCATGTTTTAAAATATATCTGTGGTTATGTTGCCTAAACTGGATTCTGTGATTTGGGTATTTCCCTTCATTATATATGACTGTGTTTATATGTGACACATGAATTCTGACGCCACTTATTTGAAGCTCTTCAAGCGTTCAGTTTCCTTTACTTTAATCACTGCCAGAACTGGTTTTTGAAAGAGAAAAGAATGCCATCTACTTTAGAAATTTAAGCTATTAAACTATTGCAGCTGGAAAAGTAGATGTGTTATTGGCCTAGGGCATGAATTAAATGAGTTGAGTGAACAGTATTGGAAGAAAACTTGGTTACCTCACAAAGCAAAAGCTTAATAGCAGCGACGAATTTTAGGAAATAATTAAAAGTTAAACTTGAGTTGAGACGGAGCTATGGAATAAGAAGTCTTGCTTGTCTGTTTACTAATTTTTGCTTACAAATTCACTCAAAAAGTGTTTTTGAAAGGTATTTTCCCCAAGTGTAATCTACAAAAAAATGGTTGAAAATGTGAGTTGATTCCTTTTCTGATTGTCAAAAAAAAATGAAAGTGAACTGTTTTTGGACTAAAGCTTTTGGGGTTTTGTTGAATGAGCTATTGAAATGCCATCAAAACAAACCAACTGTTTCCTCATGATAATTTATAGGGAAATATCCATCATTTTCCCTAGTGGCAGCGATATGGGATGGCATTTCCATTACAAATTATCTCGTGTTCTATTTTTAAAAATTCCTGCTGAGCCCTAAACTTTTCTCAGTTAATTAAATTTATTAATCATTCAGGTTGTAATATTTTCAATTCTGCAGAATTTCAGAAGTATTATTTATAGGGTATTCTTGAGATTCTGTTTTTTAAAGCACAATTGTAAGTGGATACACATTTATATGTTTATTTACCAGAGGTTTCCCTTGGTGTCCAGGGAGAAATTTCTCCCTTGCAAGAAACGATTATTTCCTAAATTGTCCACCTTTTACCATTAGACAGAATGTAGTCTACCCAACCTGCTCACTTGACGTTGATCCTGTCTGACACAGAAAGAAATGTGTCTCAGCAAAGCTTTTAAGTACTTGCAATGAAGATAATTAGGTTGGAAGATTGTGTTACTGCGTTTTGAGAAACTGGATTGAACTTGTGAAGTAACTAATGAATGAAGATCTGACTTAGGTAGAAAATTACTTCTGATTTGCTGTCAATATGAAGGAGCAACTCTGTAGCTTGGTGTTGGTTTTATGGTGCCATTTCTTAGAGCCTTTCCATTTCATTGTTTCCCACCCATAGGATATGCATTTGGGAGATAGTTCACAGCTTGGTACACTAATTCAAGAGGTGAAACTCTGCACTCTTATAAGAGGAGATACCAAGAGATTCAATTAAGGATGAGAATATTTGGAAAATCCAGAATTTTCCATAATTTCTTGTTATTTGAAAAAGGCAGGGAAACAAATGGCAAGAGGTCTCAGATCTTTTTAGAGAGGGAATATATTTAGCAGCTAGGTTGTCAACATTATTATTCTACAGGATTCCGTTCTCTTGGTGGTTGATCAGTACTATGGCACCTTCCAAGTTAAGGGGGATTCTACAAAGAATGGTCATGGTGAATGCAGTGAACTTTGGGACAGGAGATTTGGTCTCTTACCAGCGCCATTGTTTTCATTGTTTTGTAACCACCACAGCTTTTCTGTGTATTAGTCAAATGAGAATGTAGTTAGAAATGCTTTGGGGCCTGGCCAGGTGCAGTGGCTCACACCTGTAATCCCAGCACTTTGGGAGACCAGGGCAGGTGGATCATTTGACCTCAGAGTTCAAGACCAGCTGGGCCAACATGATGAAACCCCGTCTCTACTAAAAATACAAAAATTAGCCAGGTGGTAGTGGCATGCGCCTGTAATCTCAGCTACTCAAGAGACTGAGGCAGGAGAATATCTTGAGCCTGGGAGGCAGAAGTTGCAGTGAGCCGAGATCTTGCCATTGCACTCTAGTCTGGGCGAGAGCATGAGACCATGTCTCAAAGAAAAAAAAAAAAATAAATAAAGAAATGCTTTGGGGTCTTGTGATGATTTACTTAAAGAATTATAACTCCCTGCCTAGTTAAGGGTTTGGTTTCTAGGCAACCAGATGATGTTAGGTGGCACTGCTCATGAACAGACCCTGTGTTTCCTGAGGCCACTAATCCAGTCCTGCTGTCATTCTGAATTCTGAAAGATTAAAATTTAATAAAATAGCAACATATGAGCTAAAAGATATGTGAGCCTAAAGTAAATTACATTAAAAAGTGATTGTTTGCACTATAGATTATACAACTTTTATGGAATATGTATATTTCTAAACTATAGGTATAAATAGAAATGTTGTAGCTCTAGGAGGAGGCCTTTATACATAAAATCATATGGTAAGTATTTTCTTTATGTTAAATACTGTATTAGTCTGTTCTCACGACGCTATGAAGAAATACTTGAGACTGAGTAATTTACAAAGGATAGAGGTTTAATTGACTCACAGTTCTGCATGGCTGAGGAGGCCTCAGGAAACTTACAATCTTGGCGGAAGGCACCGCTTCACAGGGTGGCAGGAGAGAGAATCAGTACCCAGTGAAGGGGAAGCCCCTTATAAACCATCAGCTCTCATGAGAATTAACTCACTATCATGAGAACAGGATGGGGGAAACCGCCTCCGTGATTCAATTATCTCCACCTGGTCTCTCCCGTAACACATGGGGATTATGGGAACTACAATTCAAGATGAAATTTGGTTGGGGGCACAGCCAAACCATATCAAATGCTAAGCCTTTGATTTTAATTTTTAAAGTCTCTCTTTTGGTATTCCTGGTTTTCATAAAGTCAGGTATAATTTTACGAATAAGTCTATGGACATAACCTTTATTTTATGGAAAAATTTATTTTAAGTTTCTTTTTTATAAGCTGCCCTAAGAGAGTCATAATATAATTTTGTTTACAGGTAGTTTTAAAGAAACGTACTTAATATAATAAAAAGTATATGTAGGTATTCTCTGAATGTATCTGTATTTGAGTCAGGTACATCTAGATGTAAAAATATAAATATTTTATATAAAAGCCATTTAAAAATGTTTAGTTTTTCAAAGTTGCTTCTAGTCTTACTCCCAATTCTAGCTTATTCCTGTTTTGGGCAAAGTTAGATTTGTTTATCTTTAGCATTTTGGTCCTAGGTAATCAAGTAGTGATTCAGTGTCTGTTTTTTGCTTTTATTTACCGAGGAGCGTAGGTAAATAATAAAGAATAGTAATTCACCCTCAGGACTTTTAATGAGGAAACCATCTCCTTCTGCTCATGGCTGCATTAAAAAATAAACCAACAAAAGACCACATACCCATTTACTAAAGGTCTTGGCTGTTTATCGGCATGCCACCTATTGGGAACCTAATGGAATCTGGACACATTTTTGTTAAAATAGAGTAATTCTTTTAGTAAATTGAAATAATTGTTTAATGTTTACTGGTAAGATACCACTACAAATTAGCCATAGGGTTTAAATAAATGTTGGTCTATCCTGTCTCCTAATTTGCCCTTTTGAATATAGATTGGTTATTATGGAGATGAAGACATATTTTATCCCAGGGTGATAATGTGAATTAGGAATATGAAGGATTCCTAAGTATTTCTCATATTTCTTTTCAATGCTTCTTAAGGTTGTAAAGTGCAAGATAGGGAGGCCATTGTGGTGGCTATAGTGCTTATGAGAGAGAGATGCTGTGAGTGTGTATATTTCCAATGGGCTATGAGAATCTTCATAGTCCTCATTCTGAGTTCTCCTCTGCCAGCTGGCTGTCCAGCCCATCCTTGATCACCTCCAGTCATGTGGAACTCATTACTTTTCTGTCAGTCCATTTTCCTGAAATTCCTTTGAATGTTCTCACATTGTGCTGAGATCCTGCCTCTCTAAAATGTTTACCATTAAAACCCCATTTCATACCTCTAGAGCTATTTAAAATTTAAAATTAAATATTCTTTCACAAGAATGTAGACCTTTTGGGCCGGCCGTGGTGGCTCACACCTGTAATCCCAGCACTTTGGGAGGCTGAGGCGGGCAGATCACCTGAGGTCAGGAGTTTGAGACCAGCCTGACCAACATGGAGAAACCCCGTGTCTACCCAAAATACAAAATTAGCCGGGCATGGTGGCACATGCCTGTAATCCCAGCTACTCGGGAGGCTGAGGCAGGAGAATCACTTGAACCAGGGAGGTGGAGGTTGCAGTGAGCTGAGATCCCACCATTGCACTCCAGCCTGGGCAAGAAGAGGGAAACTCCATCTCAAAAAAAAAAAAAAAAAAAAAGAATGTAGTCCTTTTGATATGTGAAGATTTCTCCCTTCTTCCTCCAAACATATGCTTATGCCTCCTGTTGTCCAGGCAATGTAGCCTCAGCTGCTTGATTCATTCTTGTGGCATAGACCTGAGGCCCTTCATTATCCCTGCTTCTGCGCTGGAACTGTTCTATTGCTAAAAGTCATGTTTTATGCTTGTAAATAGTTTTATATTCCATAAAACTTTTTGAATATATAATTTAATTTCTGTTAGAATGAGCACCTTGTTCTCACTTCAGAGTCTTTATAGTTATAGTTCCCTCTACTTAGAACAGTTTCCCCCCAGCCCTCTCATGGCAGGCTCCTTCCCCTTCAGGTCTCAGCTCAAATGTTACCTTCTCAAGGAAGCCACTTTTCATCCCTGCATCTACTACAGCCAGCCACTGCCTCTGCTTCCCTCTGCCACAGACTTTCTTTATTACATTAACCTGTTTTATTGTTTTTATGGTATTGCCACTCTCTGAATTATCTTACTTCCTTGTTTATGTCTGTATTTAGCAATTTAAATACATAAGTCAAGGGAAAATAAAG